TTTCTTCAAGGAGATACATTTCATGATCATGAGAAGAATTACATGAATTTGTTTTCCATAAATTCTCTCATGTCAGTGTAAAGAAGATATTAGTTGAAACGTCTTCTTTAGGAAAAGAGTGTGGGGTTTAGACAAGCATATTTGTGCATATTAAAATTATGCATGTCAAGATGAGCACAAATGTGCAACTCCCAATTTATTGCTGTAGATAATCAATACAGGCATAAAGAGTATTCACGCTGGGATAGAAAAAGAAAGACCTGATTTTAGTTAATTCGTTTAGGAAATGTAAAACACGGTGGTTCAAAGAAGATATGAACCATCTAAATTTAATTTCACTTACTGGTACTTCATGTGGCAAAAGAAACTAGCTTATGTGGCAAAGGAGGAACTAATCGAGAATTAGCATGAATTGTGATAATTGCCATTTTTAATAGAATTTAGTTTGCATTGAATAGATATGTGTGTATGGATCTCATGTGTAATAGAAACTTAAAGGGAACATATATTCTATATAAAATATGCTGCACTTGAATTACTAACAATTACCAATTGTGAAAAAACTATATATTATATACATCAGCTCATCTCCGTTATTCTGTAGTAGATGACAGAGGAGGAAATCTAGTTCGTTCTTCTGCATTAACAATATACCCTATTTTAAAAAGACATTATCAGTGATTAAAGACACTAATTTTTCTAACCACTTTAAGTGACATGGTTTCTTCATCGTCAAATCTTAGGTGCCAACTGGCATCTAAACTTTGCACCCTTGCCTAGAAGTTCACACTACTGAATAAAAGAAGATTTTGATATTCCTCTATGTAATACCAGCATTTAATATACGGTAAACAGTGTAACTCAGTGGTGGGTTTCAAACTTTTTTAGAACTTTTTCTGTAGGTGTGGCCTGCTTTGTGGGAGTGGCTTGCTGGCCATGTGGCCGGGTGGGAGTGGCTTGCTGGCCATGTGACTGGGTGGGCGTGGACAACTTGTAAAATGTGGTGAAACTCACCTAACAACGCTCTTGCTTAGCAACCAAAACGTTGGCTCAGAAACTCTGGTGTTTGAAGCATGCAAGTCTTAAAGCTGTCACGTTGCAAGACCCTTGCACCCCTAACCCTTTAGAAAAAAAAACCCAGGGGTGTTCAAATTTGACAGCTTTAACACTTGTGGACTTCAACTCCCAGAATTCCTCCTCCAGTCATGTTGGCTCAGGAACTCTGGCATTGAAGTGTGCAAGTCTTGAAGCTGTCAAGTTACGAGACCCTTGCACCCCTAACCCTTTAGAAAAAAAATCCCAGGGGTGTTCAAAGTTGACAGCTTTAACACTTGTGGACTTCAACTCCCAGAATTCCTCCTCCAGTCATGTTGGCTCAGGAACTCTGGCATTGAAGTGTGCAAGTCTTGAAGCTGTCAAGTTACGAGACCCTTGCACCCCTAACCCTTTAGAAAAAAAATCCCAGGGGTGTTCAAACTTGACAGTTTTAACACTTGTGGACTTCAACTCCCAGAATTCCTCCTCCAGTCATGTTGGCTCAGGAACTCTGGCATTGAAGTGTGCAAGTCTTGAAGCTGTCAAGTTACGAGACCCTTGCACCCCTAACCCTTTAGAAAAAAAATCCCAGGGGTGTTCAAACTTGACAGTTTTAAGACTTGTGGACTTCAACTCCCAGAATTCCTCCTCCAGTCATGTTGGCTCAGGAACTCTGGCATTGAAGTGTGCAAGTCTTCAAGCTGTCAAGTTACAAGACCCTTGCACCCCTAAACCCTTTAGAAAAAAAACCCTCAGGGGTGTTCCAATTTGACAACTTTAAGACTTGTGGACTTCAAC